AAACCCGACCAGGATGTTGCGGAGCAGGCTGGAAAAGGACACTGGAAGAATTGCTCCCAATTAGATGGGACAAATCCTTACGCTTCTTGGCACCATCAGCGTGCTGCTCGCTGGCAGCTGGTCAGGAGTAGTGGGGCCATCAACTAACTGTGTGCCTCCAGCAGGGGCATCTGAGCAATGGGCCCATTGGAGCCCATGCTGAATTCAGGGATCGGCTTGCCCACTACGGCGTCGGGGCACAAGGCTGAGAACCCAGGCCTCCGGGGCAGCTCCTGGCGCTGGGGTTTGGATCTTCCAGCAAGTGACAAGTGGGCTGAGAAGTCCAGGGTGAAATCTTGAGCACAGGGCACCCAGGCATGGGGCTGGCAGCCTGGCTCTGTCCCCACCTCTGCCCCAGACTGGCTTTGTCACCTTGAGGAGGTCACTTAACCTCTCAGGGTATCCTAGCCCCAAGCAGACGGCTAATTAGCACATGTTGCTCCTTGGGAGCAGGGGCTTGTGCGTGTGAGCGTGTCGGGCTGCTTTCACCAGGCACGTCACAGAGAGATATGGTGAGCTGGTGCGTTGAGGACCAGAGCCCATCCTTGCTGGTCCCCCACGAACTGGAAGGATGTGGTTGAACCTGGCTGCCCTAGGGATCGTGGCCTGTCTGCATGCGTCGCTCAGAGCCCACCAGGCTCAGGGGTCTCCGCTTCTGCATCTCTACATCAGACGCTGTTCCTGGCACTCCTGCCTCCCCAGCACACTTGGGTCAAGGGTCCCTTTCTAGCCTGACGCGCCCACTGGCTAGTGCTGCTCTCCAAGGAACAGGCAGCCACCAGCTGCTTAAAACCTGTTGTATTTAGCTGTTGGGAAACTGTGGCTGGGGAGGGCTGGCATGGGTCATGCCTGCAGTCTCACCTGCTCGGGGGATGAATAAGGAAGTTGCTGTGCATTAAAAATAGGGTGTTCTCTCCCACGGGCCTTGCCGTTGCCTGGCCTCCGCTCCTCGCAGCTCGTTCCAATGGAGGATGTGTTTCCAAGGCTTCTGTTTTATTTCTGGTACAAAGTCTGTGCTGAGATATCTGTGAAATGGCCTATTGAGCCACTGCTCCAGTCCCTGCCCAGGCCGCAAGCCAGCACCGGGCACATCTGGAGACTGCCTTTGAAATTCCCTTTCTCCCTGCATGCTCCTGGCTACAGGTCTGCCACCTCCTGAATGTCCCGGGGGCACTTCCCTCTCAGACAAGCAGCCAAGAGCATCCCACGCTGGCTCCCGGGAGTGTGAGGACTGGTCCTGTCTACCTCACGCTCTAGGATGATGCATCTCTGCAGTTACTGGTGGTGTGCAGTGACGTGAGATTGTCCTTTGCTGATGGGAGGGAGGAGGTGAGGAAGCAATCAGGAGAGGGCAGAAACATGGGGCTGCTGTGATAATGCGGTGTGCAGATGAGCAGCAGGGCTGCTTTCTCTGAGGTGGCCCCGATACAGCTTCTGAGTGAGATGTATCCACGCTCCAGCTCCGAGGTCATGCTGCAGTGAGCTCCCCCCCCTCCATGGCTGGACCCAGTCTCTCCTTGAGGCTTGCTTCAGGGTCGTTCCACAGTTCTTTTGCTTTGCAAAGGCTTGAACCTGAGGGGCACGTGGTGAGAGACCCATGTCTGAAGCCTGAGCTGCAGATTTTGGTCCTGCTTCCTCCTACAACCCTCCTGGACAGCATCACATGCCTCTTCTCTGCTGCTGCGTCCCAGCTCAGGCTCCCTGGCAAATCAGCTACCTCTTGTAGGTGCATCTCGGGGCTTTCCAGAAGGCTGAACACATGGAGATTCAAGGCTCCTGCTGCAGTGCCTAAGTGAGAAATGGCTCCAGCCTCTGCTTTCATTACATCCTAACTGAACAGGCAGCTAACCCAGCTGGAGGTACCTGGCATCTTGGAGAGCCTGAATGGGTCCCCTGGAGTAGTGCCATGGGGCTGGGGGGAGCTAGGCAGCGCAGAGCTGACCCTGCTGGCATGCAGGTCCTGTGGAGGGGCCTGTCTTGCTCCTGCAGCCACACGTAGCACCCTAGAGTGTCACATGCAATGCAAAAAACTGAGGGGAGGGGAAAGAAACTCCCTGGTTCTAGGACACATCTTGCCCAGCCACCTTCCTCCTCCTCCTCTCACAGGTTCTGCCTGTTTGTGGCACTCGCTCGGGTGAACAGAGCTGCCCACACACTTGCAAGGCTCAGAGAAGCACGCTCCATGCCAGGACTGCTGCATTTTATGACCCTGTCTGCAGCCCAGCCCGGCCGGCCCCTGCAGTACAGTTGCCAGTCAGAGCAGCGTCTGACTGGTGCCACATCAGACCCTGCAGTGACTGTAAGCTGTAGTGGCGCAGCACTGGGAAGAAAACTTCCCCTGGGAGACCAGGCTGGCTGTCTGTGGGGGGATAAGCCTGCAGCCAGGGGACGTGCCCCTGGCATAGCCGTGCGTGTGGGGTGCTGGGTGCCCGTTGCTGCTGGGAGCACGCTGAGGGGGGGCAGCGGACATGTATGGAAAAGCTGCTGCTTCCCTGAAAGCAAAGGATCTCTGCCTTGTTGCTGGATCCTAAAAGCTACCTCCCTCCCAGCTGAGCCATGCTGCTGTGCAGTGGCTCCTCCCGGGTCTCGCCTGGTTTTGTGGCCTGTTTCCTCCCAGCCACCTGAACCCCCCCCCCATCATCCTGCCAGGCTACACTGCTCTATGTCCCCCAGAGTCCCAACACGACCAGGGGCTGGTGCTGGGACTTGTGCCAGGGCCTGGGCAGCTCAGGATGGCTTCTCCCTGCACCTCGAAGGCAGGGAGCTGAGTGCAAGGGTAACAAGACGCCATGGACCCAGATGCATTTCAGTCTCACCAGCCCGGGCATCATTCACCAGACAACAAGCAGCACCTGCGCCCTGCGTGGCCCTGGCCAGCCCTGGCAGTGCCATTAGCCCAGCCCTGGGTGGGCTGTAATGACATGGCTCCTCTCTTCTGGGCTCTCTGGCAGCTGCTCTCCACAGGGCAGGGCTCTGCTATTAGATGAGCCGGGGACAGGGAGAGCGGGAGCTGGGGAGCACAAAGAAGCTGAGTAATAGAGGGGTAGGGGGAGACTTATGGGGGGGCCAGTGACAGGGCAGAGGGAGTGATGGGGGGGAGCAGGTGGTTCCCCCACAGAAGAAGCAGGGGAGCAGGTGGGGCTGGGCTATAATAGGGAATGGGGGGGGGAGATGTATAGGCTCAATGTTGGGGTGGACAAGGGGAAGAGCTTTCATGGGCCCCCTCCTCCAGGAGGTCTCGGGCCCAGCTGGTCCCTGCTCTGGGGCTGGCAGGCATCCCCTAGCATGGCACCTTTGCCCTGAGCAGGGCCAGTCTATCCCAGGGCATCCTAGTGCACTGGAGCGATGGTTTGGGAATCCCTGGAGACAGGCTGCCTACCTGCTCCCCACCTGCTGCAGCCCCCACAGCTCTCCACGCCTGATGCCCCTCTGCCTCATTAGGCACGGATGCAGCTCCGTGCCTAATGAGCTGGCAATTACTTATGCAAATGAGGAGCAGAGCTGCCCAGGGATTGCTGCAGGGAAGCTCTCCTGCTGCTGGCCCATTAGTGGGCTGTAAATGGCAGCCACCCCAGCAGGCCTCCCTTTGGCTGCCCGAGGAATGGTGCATACGTGTGTGCGGAGCTGGAGAAGGGTGCTCGGGAGCTGTGCCCGGGGCAGGGATCATCAAGGCCTTCGGCAGATGAGCCATAGAAGAGACACGGGGTGGCTGCCCGTCTGTGTGCTGGTGACGGCTCAGGAACTGGTTTCATGGTGTCAGCTGGCGGTGTAACTGCCTTGACTCGTCTGTGTGCTCGGGTCCCTAGCGCGGGCTCAGCGGGGCTCTAACCTCTAGCCGGCTGGCTTGAGGGGAGCTTGGAGCAGCTCCCTGACACATGCTGTGCTCAGGGCTGGCAAGGGGTCCCCGACCCAGCCACGCTACTCCCACCCGCCTGGCCTGACCTGGAGCAGGAGGCGTTGAGCTTGCTGCTGCTGCTTTGGAGCCAGTGGCCGCAACCCAGCCAGGCCGTCTGTGGTGTGTCTGCAGCTCTGCTGGAGAAACCAGGGCTTGGGCAGCCCCTGACTGCCTGCCCCGCAACCTGTTCTGTGCTTCTGGGGCCTTGGCAGGACCTTCGCTAGGGAAGGCAGCCCCTGCCCTGTTAGCAGGGCCCCAGGTGAGCCCACAACAAAGGAGGTGGCTTGGGGGAGCTCTCAGGGGAGCTGTGAGAGCAAGTACTGGGTAGTGAGGGGGGGATTGGGGTGCAGTGATGCCAGCCTGCCTGCAGCCCCACAACCAGGCCTAGCGAGGGCACAGTGCCCTCAGTGGGGTGAGCTGCAAATAAGTGGGGAAAGACGCCCCACCCCGCTGCCCCCCATTTCATACCGACACCCTGCCCTCCTTGGGCTCAGTCCCTGTGCCAGGGTGCCTGGCTGAGTGGACCAGGCCTGCTCCAGGCTGCTGTGTGAGGGCTCAGCATGCCACAGGTGGACTGGCAGCCTGACTATGTGGGAAGGCAACGAGTCCGGGATGGCGTGGTTGGATGTGGCCTCTGTTCTTCCTGAGGTGGCTGGGAGGATGGTGGGGAGGGGGGAGGAAGAGTCCTGCCTCAGGCTGGCTCAGGTGCCTTGAGGCATGCAAGCTTGGCCTGCCTGTTGGTGTGTGACCAGAGCACCTGGTCGTGTACTAGCACCCCAGGGTGTCAGGTGCAGCACACTCACCGAGATGCCAGTCAGCTCTAAGGGTGACAGCATTTCCTAGGTGATGGGGCCAACCTAGGAAAGTCTGTGATACTTTCCATGGCGTCGCAAAGGGCAATCCATAGACTTTGTGGCAGGCAGGGACCGTTAGACCAGCTGATGGCCACCTGCGCCACCCAGCCCCTGAGAGACGCTTGCACCTGGTGGGCGGAAGGGGTGACCCGGCGCTTGCCTTTCTCACCTCTTTTTGCTCCTAGGCCCCAGACCCAGGCTCGGGCGTGACCATGGGGAAGCAGAACAGCAAGCTGCGCCCAGAGATGCTGCAGGACCTGCGGGAGAACACGGAGTTCTCGGACCTGGAGCTGCAGGAGTGGTACAAGGGCTTCCTCAAGGACTGTCCCACCGGGATCCTCAACGTGGAGGAGTTCAAGAAGATCTACGCTAACTTCTTCCCCTACGGCGACGCCTCCAAGTTTGCCGAGCACGTCTTCCGCACCTTCGACACCAACGGGGACGGCACCATCGACTTCCGAGAGTTCATTATCGCCCTGAGCGTCACCTCGCGGGGCAAGCTGGAGCAGAAGCTCATGTGGGCCTTCAGCATGTATGACCTGGACGGCAACGGCTACATCAGCCGGGAGGAGATGCTGGAGATCGTGCAGGTACCATGGGGGTTCCTCAGTGGCAGGTGCCTGCTGTGCAGTTGCCCGCACTGGGTGAGGTGGCATTGCCCTCTGTAAGGGCCCAGTCCAGATGCTGGGATGCCTCCCCTTCGTGGTTGCAGTGGGGGTGAGGCTGGGGGATCCCACCAGCCAGGTCCCTGCTGTATGCTGCTCTGCAGGCCATCGGTAGAGGTCCTCCAGCAGCTCCCCACCTCTCTGGGCCCCAGCCAGCATGCACCCAACCATCACCCTTTCGTCATGAAGGGCTGGGGAGACGGTGCACTCTGTGGCCCCCCAACCTTGGCATCACAGACAACCTGTGACCTGGGAGCCCCTGCAGTAGCACAGGCCCCAGAGGCACTACCTTGCTCCCCCCACATTGAGGGTCCTGCTTTTCTCCTGCTTTGGCCCCTGCTCAGTGCCTTGCCCCTGTGCAGAGCAAATGTGAAACACCCTCCCGGGACAGAGCCCCATCCTCACACCCCATCCTGCAGTGACGGGGCTAGGGACAGGGCAGCCAGGGAGGGTCTGTGGGTTGGCCTCTTGCCTGAGCTGTGTTTCTCTTGTCCCGGGTGGAGGCAGGCTGCCTGCGTGGGCCCCTCTCGGCAGGAGAGGCTGCTCTGGGCTGAGAGAAGACCAAGGGCCGCTTGCCTCGCTGAGGGAGGGGGCTGCAGGCTAGTAGCAGGAGCAGATTCCCTCCCCGCAGCACTGCGGCAGGAGAGGTTTGCAGGGAGCTTTTGAATAAGGGCAGGCACATAATAGAGAGGCTCCCTGGTTCCCTGCAGGCTTCTCTGTTTTCCCCCCCTTCCCTCCTCTGGGTACAGCTCACTGCTCCCTGCATGGTGGGGCTGCCAGGAGCAGATTGTGGATCTGAATTTAATGGAGATTAGCGGGCTGGATGGTGAGCCGACCAGATTACCGGAGGGCAAGAGTGCGGGCATTGTCCCTCCCAGCCCTTTCTGCCTGGCTCCGGCACGGCCAGGAGAGATGTGCGGACACCCGCCCTGCTGTCGTTGGCATATGGGCTGTGTGCCTGGCAGGCTCCGGGTCCCAGGATGGCAGGGTGACACCTGTTTACAGCAAATGTAGCTGTGCCTGGGGGAGCCATGGGTGCAGATCCTGGAGCCAGCTCCTGGGAAGTAAAGTGCCAACGCCATGTCCCGTGGGGAGACAGTTGGGCTTGCGGTGGCCCAGCAGGGCTGGTATCGGCCCTGCTGGGAGCTTGGGGAAAGGCCGAGGCTGCTAGACCAGGGCGGGATTTGCAGAGGAAGGACCCAGCAGCATCCAGCCCAGGAGCCGGGTGAACGTGGGGTCTTGGCCCTGAGATCAGGTGCCAGGGAGGACTTGAGCCCCAGTGCCAGGCTCCTTGGGTGGCCAAAGGGAACTCAACCTGGTCCCCAGCATGAGCATAGATGTGGGGACCGGGGTTTAACTGATCCCCACTCTCCCTTCCTGCTCCCCACAACCCGGCCCAGGCTGGGCTCGAGCCACTGCAGGGAGGAACAATGTGCCCAGTCCAAGTGGCAGACAGATCGGAGGGGGTGTGTGTGCATATGCACACAAGTGTGTGTGTGTGTGTGTGTAGGTGTACTCGCGGTGCCTGCTCTCCCCAGCCCGCTCCTACACTCCCTCTTGTGGCAGCCACGGCTCCCTGCCCGCTATAGCCGTAGCCCATCGGAGGCAGGGGAGGTTTGCACCTTGCAGACAACTGAATCAGACCTGCGTGAGCTTCTGTACGCAGCAGCTCGCTGCCTCCGAGCCACCCTCTGCAGCCCCACCCTAGCTGAGGCAGGAGCCATGAGCCTGTCCTGGGGCTGTGGCAGCCACAGCAAGGTCCTGCTGGAGCCACCCCTTGCACGTGGGTGTGCGGTGCTGTGTGCCCCCGTCGGCCAACCTGGCTGTCACCTGCCCAGCGGCCCAGCCCTGCTAACTAGCCAAGCCCTGGGCTGCTGCACAACTCTTCAAGGGCTGAGGCTTGGCTAGGGACCCCAGGCTGCATGAACATGGGTGCTGTGGGGGTCATGCAGGCTCCACCTTAGGCATGGGGGGCCTTGCCAGCTCTGTCTCCATCACTGCCCAAGTGCCAGGTCTCACTCAGACTGGAATTTCTCCTTGCACATTAGTTACAGCTACCTCCCCACGAAGATGGCTGGGTCCCTCCGGAGGGAGCTCCCGCCTGCCAGTGCCTCTCGTTTTAATCACATCTGTGCCACTGCTTCCCTTGCTGCGCTGCATTAATACTTCAAACAGGCTCTATCCCCTGGGAGTGCCCCTGAGAGCTGTGCTTGGGTCGTCTCGGGGGTCTCCCGGAGGCAGCAGGTCTTTACCCTCACTCAACTCCCTGGTCCCTCACTGCCTGCCCGCTTCCCTCCCCTAAGGCCATCTACAAAATGGTTTCCTCGGTGATGAAGATGCCTGAGGATGAATCCACCCCAGAGAAACGAACAGAGAAAATCTTCCGACAGATGGATACTAATAACGATGGTAAGCGAGCAGAGCCCCGGGGGATTAGGGTGCAGGCGCGTGGCTAAATCCCCGGGCCGGCAGAGGGGGGCATGCATACACCGATTAAAAGTTGGATCGTGGGGCCGGGCCCCTCCTGGCAGGTTGCAAGATGCTGCTCCCCCTCCCCCACCACGCTGGCTTGGACACGGCTGCCGTGTGCCCAGGACCACGGGCTGCTGGCTGCCCCAGGGTCGCTGTCTCCAGAAGAGCTGCGGTGCCCAGGAGCTGGCTGCTAGGGGTTGTGGTGGGGGAGTGAAGCCATTGCCCGGGACCAAGGGCCCCCCCCAGCGGAGCCACCTGTGACCCAAGGCCCTGTCTTGCCCCACCACCCAGGCAAGCTGTCTCTGGAAGAGTTCATCAAAGGTGCCAAGAGTGACCCGTCCATCGTGCGGCTGCTGCAGTGCGACCCCAGCAGCGCCTCGCAGTTTTGAGCCCGCCCCAGCGCCGCCTGGCAGGGATGGGCCGCGTCCCCTGCCACCCGCAACCGCCACGACACCTGACCTCACAACAGCCCCGGCTCCGACAGGGAGACCTGCATCCCGCCGCCCTCGGGACTGGGGCTGGGGCCGGGGGACGTGCGCCCGCGAAGCGCCAGCACTGCCACCGTCTTCGACTCGTCCGCTCCCTTTCCCCAATGCTACGTCTGTAGATGTGTACGTGTGAGTGTGCAGCTCTTTTGGGGGTGGGGGGGTCACGAGCCACTTTCACCCACTCGCTTGGTGGGGCGGGGGCCGAAGCCAGAGGCTGCTCTGAGGAGCTGGGGGGGGTCTCCTGACTGCATCTGCAGGGTGCTCTGCTGGGGGGGGTGCAGCTCGGCCCCGTTCTCTCTGCAGGTGGGGGCAGGAGGGGAAGAGATGCGAGACCTCTGCCTTGCATCCGGTGGGGGTGGCGGGCCAGGTCAGCTGAGCCCCTGCCGCAGCAGTAACCCCTGCTGTAGCCAGGAGACACCATCCTTTCCCCCACGCTCTGCCCGGTCCTCCAGCAGGAGCGAGGCCAGGCTACTCCCACCCCCTCCATTGCCACAGTCCTAGTCAGGGGGCTTCAGCAGTATTGGGCTGGTGCCTGCCCTCCAGGGAGAGCCCGGCTGCCCTGCCAGTGCCTCCTGGGTGCAGCTAGGGAGGCCCTGGCTGGGAGCAGCATGCAGCCAGGTCGGGTCCAAGCGCATGCAGAGACAGCCTGCCCGGCTCTCCCCAGCCCCAGCTCTGCCCCAGGCAGGCTTCTCCATGACTTGGCTCCCTGCAGCCCTGGGGCAGCAGGCAGAGCAAGCCCAGTCCAACCCTGAGCCAGCCGGAGGGCCAGGGCTTCTCTCGCCACCACGCAGCTGGGGAACAAGACCTCGCTCAGTGCCTCTGGGGAAAACAGGAGCCCGACCCCTCTGGCAAGGCCAAGGAGGGGGCCTGAGATAAAGGAAAGGTCGCTCCAAACTATGCAGGGCTGAGGGCTGGTGGGGAGGAAAAGGATGCCAGGGACTGTGGGATCTGGGAGAACAGACTGTCCTTCCCAGCTCCCTACGAACGCAGCCCCCCTGCCTCAGCCAGAGGCACCTGCGCTTCTGGCCACTCCACCACCCCTGAGGGTAGAGAGGGGAGAGCTACCCCTGACAGGGGCCTGGGCAGCAGAAGCTCTGGGGGAGAAGGGACCGAGGTGATCCCCAGTCCCTGGCTCCCACCTCCTGCAGCTGGGCAAAAGCCAGGAGCACGGCCAGATGCCAGCTGTCAACCCCACTGTCCTGGGGTGCCCACCAGCCCCTCCCCACGCCGTGCACTTCACCACACGCACCAAGACAGGCCCTGCACAGGCACACGCCAGCCCCTCCGCCCCCGCCCCCTCCCTCAGTTCTCTCTCCAGGACCAGCCTGGGGGGAGCCCGGGGCAGCCCAGCACGAGACGCGGCAGGCGCTGGTCCCACGCCGTAGGGCCGGGGGTGCACACGGGGGCGGGGGGGGCTGCTTTTGTTCTTTTAATAACTTCAGAATAAAGTTTTGTCTCAGTGCAGCTGGGCGCAGGGGGCTCCGTCGGCGCCGACATCGGCCCAGGCACGGGTCTCTGGGGACCCTCTCAGCCTCGCGTGGAGGGAGCCTGGGTGCCAGGGGAACGGGCTCCCGGCAGCAGCCCAGCGTAGAGAGAAGGAGCTCGCTGCCTGCTCAGCACAGCCATGCTGCTCACGGGATGCAGGAGGATCCCGTCCCTTCATAGCAGCTCTGGGTCCATGCTACAGCACCCTGCTGCTGGGCGGCCCTTGGGCTGAGGGCAGCATGGCCATGAGTGGGTGGGCATGGCCAGGAGGCTGAGATGCCGAGGGCTGGCTGCCCCGCTCAGAGCCAGACCGCCTCCACTCGGTCCTGTCTCAGCAGGTCCCAGCACTCGCCGGCTTCTGGGTTCTCCGCCGGGACAGCCTGCAGCGAGACCTGGGAACAGCGAAGGGCAGCTCTCGTGAGAAAGGGGTGGCCGGGGTGGGGTTTTCTCCTTGGAGCAGGGTACAAGGGCTACGCCTGGGTGGGGCAAGGCAGCGCCAGGCTGCAATGTGGTACTTGCAGCTCCCAGGAGCGTTGGGCCCAAGCCAACCCACACGGCTGGGGGCACCTGCTTGACAACCTCAAGCCGCACCAAGCGGCCTCAAGATCGGGAGCAAGCCGAGCTCCCTCTCTGCTCTTCAAAGCGCTACGAGAGACGGGGTCCCTTTCTGGAGGGGCTCAGGGCTCTTGGCCAGCCCCAGGGCAGTGGAACCAGGTCCTGAGCGGTGTCACGGTGCTGGGGGCCCTGCACCGGCGGTGCTGAGGCCTCTCCATGGGGTGGGGGGTGCACCGCGATGCCAGAGAGTCACCTTTTTCTTGCGGGTCCCACAGCAGAGTCAAAGGTGCAGGAGCCTGAGGGCGAGCAGGAAGCACCGGATGCTGAAGACGATCTCCACGGAGTCCAGGATCAGGGAGATGGCCCAGAGGGACAGCGTGGAGCTCTGCAGGGAGATGCAGGGGGGGCGTAAGCTGGGGCCTGGCCCTGGGAGTCCTTCCACTGCCCTCCCAGCCTCAGGATCTGGCCTGCAGGGAAGCACAGGCTGGCACTGTTGGGTGCACAGGTCCTTTCTCCCACTCAGCCTCTAGCCCAGGCCCTCCTCACCTCCGTGTGTAAAGCAGAGGGGTCTGGCCGGAGCTTGCTGCACAGCTGAACACACCAGCAGCTACAGCCCGGCGGTGCCTCAGGGTGGGAGGTGCAGGACAAGGGGGGGGCACTGCTACCAGCAACAAGGGGCACTCCAGAAGCTGAGGACAGGAGCTCCCGGTCCAGCCACCCCCCAGGCCCACAGCCCGCGGGTGCTTACGTAGACACGGGTGGGGTCAAAGGGGCATTCGCTGGAGATCTGGATCAGCTCCATGTCCACGAAGGTGCAGGTGGCCAGCAGCGCGCGCCCGCGGTTGGCGAAGGTGAGGATGATGGAGACGGCCAGGCCCAGCGAGCAGAAGAGCGAGAGGAGGGTGCTGCTCATGCTGAGGGAGAAGAGGGCCCACTTCTGCGGGGAGAGCGCAGGGGTGTCACCGCACAGCCAGGATGCCTCCATACACACGCATGGGAATGCATCTGTGCGCCTGCACACACGTACACACACACAGGGGAATGCATCTGTGCATGTGCACACCTACCGGACTACATGCACGCACACATCCACACAGGCACACCCCCGCACACATTCTCACACAGGGATGTGTACACATAGGAATGCCTCCACCCATGCATGCGCGCGTGCACACACACACACACAGATATGTATACTCCACACACACATACAGACAGAGGGACACCTCCACATTCACACTCACAAACATGCCCACACATCTGGGCACACCCACCCACCTGCCACCCTCTTTCAGTCCCCCAGGCCCGGGTGCTGCTTGCCCGAGTCCAGCGCTGGTGCAGGGGTTGTTGAGGCCGCATGGAGCCATGGGCATGCGAGTGCCTTGCCCATGACTAAGAGGTGCAGCCGCCCCCGGGGCACGGCGGGGCAAGTCCAGGCCAGGCGAGCGCCCAGCGTGCTCGGCCCCACGCAAGTGCAAACAGCAGGGCAGAGCGAGGAGACGCGCAGCCAGCTGGCAGGAGCAGGAAGCCCATCCCCTGTGGAGGGGAGAGAAACCAGAGCCCTTCCCTGGGCACGATAGGATGCCGTGCTGGGCCGGGGGTGCCATTAGCCTCATCCTTACCAGGGCAGTTTGCATGAGGTACCTGGAGAGCACGATGGCGGCGATGCCACAGGAGATGGTCTGCAAAGGGAGCACAGAGACAGGGGAGGAGACGCTGGCACACCCCTCACTGGTGCACACACAAATACCCCCTGCCCTAGAGCCAGGGGCTCCCGCCTGCCCGCTGGACTTGCCGTGGGTTTACTTCTGGGAGGTCGCCTCTAATATGGGCACAGCCAGTTCTGCCCAAGAGAGACGCAGGATCATGACCACCCCGTCTGGAGTCGGTGCTTCCCCCTGCCCCGCGGATGCAGCCTCTTCTACAGAAGCCTGCAGCAAAGCGGCCATGTAGGCATTCAGCCCCGGAAGAAACCGCCTGCCAGGCCCAGCGGTGGTCACCTCAGTGCCGGTGTTCACCCGCCCTAGGAGTCCGGCTCCGGCCCTGATGCAGTGCCCTTAATGCACACTGGCCAGCCCCCGAGTGGGGCCAATCAATCCTTAGGAGCTAGGAAGGCCACGGGCAGCTCAGCCGGGACATCGTGGGACACGAGAGCATGCTGGGATCACCGCAGCTCTAAAGCTGCTCTCTAAGGATAGGAGGTGGGTCTGCATTTCTTTTCCTCAAGCATTTGATGCCAGCAGCACCGCGGGATGAAGTCCTAATGGCCTGAACGGGCCCCGTTCCCCTCCTACGGACCTGGCTCTTGCAAGGGCAGCACCAGGCTCTGCCAAGCTGACAGCAGCCTGCACAGAGCCGGCCCTGGCTCCACAGATCCTGCCCCATGTACTTGCACATCCCCTGTGGCTTTCATATCCAAGCACCTCACGATCCGCTTGTGCCCCGTGTGCTAGGACGTGCGACACTGAACCCACAGAGCTGTGATGGGGGCCTGACACCCACTGGGGCCGCCTGGATCCCTACAAGGACCTGCCCTGCAGCTGGACGAAGCCCTGCTCGGGCACTTCCTACCTTCCCCCGTCCCATCCTCTCCTTTGCTGGACGGACCCGTCACAGTCACTGGTCCTCACCAGGCTGTATATGGATTTGGGCAGGCGGGCTCCGCTGCGCTCGGCCCTGTACGTTCATGCCATGGGAGTCCCTCCCTGTCCCTGTGACTGTAACCCAAGCGGCCTCCCCCAGACGAGGCCGGGGACCGCAATGCTCCTGCTCAGGCCCATGCTGGGCCTGGGGGGGTTTGTGGGGCTGAGGCTGCAGCCCTCGCTGCACCCATAAAAGCCCCAAGAGCAGGGGGTGCAATAAAGAGGTCCGGCATTACGGAGACCGCCCCCCCCCGTGGGATCTGGCCTCACCCAGCCACAGCTCAGACCCACGGTTCCTGGCAGCCTCATTCACACTGAAAAAAGCTCCCCTCTGCCCCCATCTTTAACATACAGGACATCTCCACCCAGCCCCTGACCCCCACACCCCAGCCCCCTCCCCCGTCCCCCATC